GTTAGCACAACTGTTTCCTATTGGCACAACTGCCTGCATTCACCTGTGCAAGCTTCCAGCATGCTTTGTCTGCAGCTCAATTTTACAGGCTGCTCTTTGTTAGAAAAGAAAATATGGGGTCTGCAGCTCAATTTTACAGGCTGCTCTTTGTTAGAAAAGAAAATTTGGGGGCTGCTTTTCATTAAAAGGAAACCTTACCCTCAATATCTGCCTCAATAATTTCTTAATCACTTTCTGCAAACACTCTTATATCATGACCATGTAACAGTTTGGGCTACTGAGCCAGAAGGGAAAGAGTACAAGAGGTAGACTTCCAGGAAGGCTGTTCTAAGGGTGATGACTCAGAGGTTACTTTTATGTTTTTTTTTATTTTTCTTCCTCCACTCCCTGCTTCTCTGAACTAGGGCACAATGTCTGGAGCTCCAGCAGCTATTGTGGACTGTGACGTGATTTTAAGTCTGGAAGCCACAACTTAAAATACAGCACCAAGATGAAAGACCCTAAAGCTACATATAAGACCTAGACTACAAACCAGCAGGCTTCTTCCACGTGAAAGAGAAATAAGTTTAGATTTTGTTCCAGCCAGTGTTACCTTTGTTTTCTGTTATGAGCCACTGTGATCTCACTTGTTATGCCCCATTCCTCCTCCCAATGTTCTGAACTCATTAGTAGCATTCTACACTCACATTCCAATAGAGGGGCAAGGCTATGACACCTTTTTAAACTCAAAAATCATGAAATAACTCTCTGCTGCTGGGGTATATGCTTTTTAAATAAACTTCCAAAATGTACTCTTGAAATCAAATTGTTAAAATAAAATTGAGTCTTAAAATTCTAGTTTTTGATTATCAAAATCCAAAGCCCCAAAGTACATTCTGGAGAGAGTTTTGCTTCCGAGAATAGGCATAAAAAGATCTTTAACCATCTGGGCAGTACTCCTCCACTTGCAGGACAAGGTAAGATCCTGTGAGCTAGAGGGAGGGAGGGAGTCAGGCAGAGAGTTGGAGTGTTGGATCTGGACAGAGACTCCTGAGAGGGGCCTGGGACTTGCCCCTCCAGCCCAGAATGGGTGGAACTGGGAGGGAAATAACAGAGCAAAGAAAAGCAGAACAATGGGTTATGAGCTAGAATCCTGCCATCTCTGAGTAAAGGAGTCGAGGTAAATGGATTTGGGGGGCATCTTGGAAAAGGAGTCTGAAGTAGACAGGAGGACCCCACCCAACTGAAGTCAGGAGGGTCATCCAGGTACTCTTGGAAAGACTCAAGTCATTTGAAGGAAGATCAGAGGACCCAGTGTGACATACGTAGAAGGAAAAAGATCTCTCAGCAGTGGATCTAGAAAGCCAATGTCTTCCTAAGACTGGAAGAGCCTCTTAATGCCTAAATCTTGGCAAGCCCCAAGAATGTGGGTGATCTCCCCCCAAAGAAAACGGAGTGCAGGAGCTCTGAGCTAGCAGTGAAGCTATGAACTGGCCAAGTTTATTATAAACTATGATCAAATCATGAAATGACTGAGAGTGATCTTGAAATGACTAGAAAATTCTTTCCCACACTGCTGTGCAAGGTGGGCCACCTGTGTGGCAGATGTGGCCCTCTGGCCCTCAGGTGGCAGGAGTGGAGCCCATGCCAGGAACCAGAAAACCAACCGAGGGGGCAGGGCCAAAGGAGGGGTCTGCTATCAGCTGAGATTGGACACACAGACAGGCCACACACAGCCCAAGCCAAGCCAAAAGAGGAAGGCTGGAATAGGGAGAATACCTGCAGAACTTACACACTTCTAATGCGAGTTCCTACAAATTAATAAAAGATATAAAATTCAACAGAAAATTGTGTAAAAATTATATATTAGCAATGAACAGAAAAGGATTATAAAAGTGGCCAAAAAATCCATGCGAAGATACTGAACCTAATTAGTGGGAGAAAATTCAAATTAGAACAACAATGAGATAACATTTCTATCCAAGAGATTGGAAAATATTATAGAGTCCTAGCATGTATTGCTGGGGAGACAGTGGGTGGAAGAGGTGCCCTTAACACTGCTTATTGAAATTGGCATTGATGCCACCTAATTTGAACACAATTTCTTCGTATATATTAAAATAAAATATATAGCAAACACATGGAATCAGCAGTGAATGAAATACTATGCAGACATGACAAAAAATGAGATCATGTCTTTTGCAAGAACACAGATGAAGCTGGAGGCCATTATCCTTGACAAACTAACACAGAAACAGAAAACCAAGTACCACATGTTCTCACTTATAAGTGGAAGCTGCATGATGAGCATACATGGACACATAGAATGGAACAACACATACTGGAGCCTGTTAACTTAAAAGTTAAATCAAGGGCTGGGTGCGGTGGCTCATGCCTGTAATCCCAGCACTTTGGGAGGCCGAGGCGGGTGGATTGCGAGGTCAAGAGATCGAGACCATCCTGGTCAACATGGTGAAACCCCGTCTCTACTAAACATACAAAAAATTAGCTGGGCATGGTGGCACGTGCCTATAATCCCAGCTACTCAGGAATCTTAGGCAGGAGAATTGCCTGAACCCAGGAGGCAGAGGTTGCTGTGAGCCGAGATCGTGCCATTGCACTCCAGTGTGGGTAACAAGAGCGAAACTCTGTCTTAAAAAAAAAAAAAAGTTAAATCAAAAGGTAAATGTTTTAAAAAATGTGGCCATACTGATTGGTGTTGGTATAGGAATCTCACTCCAAGAACTTATTTCACAAAGTTTTTTTTGTTTTTTGTTTTATAAAAAGGCCAGGTGTGGTGGTATACACCTATAATTCCAGCACTTCCAGAGGCCAAGGCAAAAAGATTGCTTGAGCTCATGAGTTCAATACCAGCCTGCACAACACGACAAAAACCATTCTCTACAAAAAACACAGAAATTGGCTGGGCATGGTGACTCATACCTGTAATTTCAGCACTTTGGGAAGCTGAGGTGGGCACATCACTTGAGGTCAGGAGTTCAAGACCAGGCCGGCCAATATGATGAAACTCCACCACTACTAAAAATATAATATTAGCTAGACATGGTGGGCTAACTGTGGTCCTAGCTACTCAAGAGGCTGAGGCACGAGAATCACTTCAACCCCGGAGGCAGAGGTTGCAGTGAGCTGAGATCACTATACTACAGCCTTGGTGAGAGTGAGACTTTGTCTCAAAAAAGACCTAAGAAATTACCAAGGGGTCTTGGGGCCTGCCTGTAGGCCCATATATTTAGGAGGCTGATACGGGAGGACTGCCTGAGCTCAGGAGGTGGAGGCTTCAGTGAGCTGTGATTACACCACTGCACTCCAGCTTGGGTGACAGAATGAGACCCTGTCTTACTCTATATACAAATGTTTAATGACATATTTTGGTTGTAGAAACACCCTGGAAGCAGTCTATCAGCAGATGATCACCTATACAACCTAAAGTCTGTTCATCTTTAAGACAGTTATACAGCAAGAAGATAGTGACACGTGTGCTTAAGAGGACTGCCAGGGTGCTTTCAGGCATGCATGACAGACCCTGATGGCAAGTCAAGCAGCAGCTCCTACTTCTTAGTACTTATTGGGATCCATGTTATGCTTCAATACTAAGTCGCTTCTGCCCAGTTTGGAAGGGCATGGGCTCCACAGAGTCACTGGTCCTGCCCACACCTGTGTTACCTGCCTGGACCCTATAGTCACTTCAGCATGATCTCTGGCAGATGGCAGGCAAGATGCTTGAAAATTAAGCCACCAATGATGCTTTCAATGTATATGTTTGTTTATATAGACTTGTGTGATTATGGGGAAAGACACAATAGGAATGGAGAACAGAGACGGTAGACATTCTTTTCTTTTTCTACCTTTTTTTTTCTTGTTTTGGAGGCACATTACATATTTGTAATTTGTGAAATTTTAGTAAAAGAACTGTAGTACAAAATAAGTTAAATAGAAGGATTTATTTAAAAGGATTGAATACACAAGAAAAAAACCTTTGATGGAAAACATTCTCTTTGTTTTACTTGGACATTTTCTCTTACAAATGAGTGAAAACCAGCTAAGGAAAGCCTACTTAATAAAATACAAAATCCAATTCATAATACACCTTTATAAAACTCTGAAAAGATGGGAACCAGCTCAACTTAAACATCTATGAGAAACTTACAGCAAACATCTTGCTTAACGGTGAAACATTGAACATATTCCCATTGAAGCCAGCCAAGGATGCTGCCATCAAATTACTGATTCCTTAATTATCATTTCCAGTGAGTCATGCATTCTCTTTGTTTCTGTTAACCCCCCAACGCCTTTTGTTTGATTCATCAAATGTTCTTTGATCACCTCAATACATTTGAAATTTTACATTCTATTCCAATTCATTTAGCTATTCCCAATGGGTATCTATATTGAGATTTATAAATGTGTCAGAGTCTAGAATTTCATTGCTCCCTTATATTCAGCCACTATATTATCTCCAGGAACTAGATAAGAACTTCATTAACTTCTAGCTTCTTCTGAATTTCCTTATATCCCACATGTCTATGTCAAAGTCTTGTGGAATTTTAATTCTAGGTCACCCATCTTTCTTCCAGAATCATACTTAATAGTTTACTAATTTCCTTGCTTACTGATTCTTCTTGCATCCCACTTCTCCCAGGCATATTGTCTGGTTTGGCTTTTTTCTAGATGAAAAATATGACTTGTACTTTCACTGTAGGTAACAGCTCCATTCAAATCACCTTGTACAGAAAGGAGGTTTAGCTGCTTGCAGATTATAAGTTGTGTACTGTAAGTTCAGGGGAACTCTTTCAGGTTCAAGCAATTCTCCTGAGTAGCTGGGACTACAGGCACAGGCCACCATGCCCAGCTAATTTTTTGTATTTTTAGTAGAGACCAGGTTTCACCATGTTAGCCACGATGGTCTGGATCTCCTGACCTCATGCCCCACCCACCCAACTCAGCCTCCCAAAGTGCTGGAATTACAGATGTGAGCCACTGCGCCCAGCCAATTGGTTTTTAATGTAAGCATGATGAAAAGACTAGGGGAGCTGCAGGCTTATTTTGACAGGCATTGAGGAGCTCCGTGCATGTGTAACTTTTACAGAAGGTACAAAGCAGAGACAAGAGGGGCATTGGAAGCAGGTGGATGGCGTTCGGGATCCTGAGAGGAGGGCTTGGAGGCTCGGTCCTGACTACAAGGTGAGGGCTCCGGTATGGGAGGGAAGGAGTGGAACAGAAATGGGGCTGGAGGGAAAGTCCGGGTGGAAGAAAGGGAGGCTGGCGACAATGTGAGTGACAGAGGTCAGTGTGTAATATGGCCCATGAACACTGGGACCCCATGCACGTAGGTTCCCATGGAGGAATGTGTGACTCCTAAAACAGATGAGTCACCCAGAGGCATAAACCCAATCAACGTGGGCTGCCAAGCAACAGCCTCAGGCCCAGAGACAGGGGGCAGCCCCTGAGGTCCCACCCGAGGCAGTGCCTCTGGTGGGACAGGGCCTTCCAGCACGGTTCTGCGCACAGCCCCTCTGCCACGGCCTCCGCCTCGCCCTGCCCGTTGGCTTCCTCCCCGGCCTCGGCGCCGGCCTCTCTCTGCAGGACGAGTCGGCTGGGTGTGAGCTGCGGGCTCCCATCGGAAGGGCTTCACATAAGCAGTGGGTTTTGTGGGTTGGGCTGGTTCTGCGGGCCCATCTGTTTCCACGGGGTCTTCACGGTCCACAACCGAGTGGCCTGGCTCTGTAGAAGGCCCACCTGAGGCTAAAAGAGAAGCAGAGTGTTAGGAGAATGAGCAGGATCTGAAGCCTTCAGGGAAGAGTGACTAGAAAAGGGGTTCAGGGAGGGCCCAGGGGAGTCTCAGCAAACAGAATGAGGGTCACGAGGGACCTACAAGGTAAGCTCTCAGGAGTTCTGTCTGCCTGAGGGCCTATTCTGAGCTCAGCACTCCATGAGCTTTTCATCGTGAGTCCCTGCAACAACCTTGCCAGCGTGATATTATAATCGTCATTTTCCTTATCAATAAATGAGTCTACAGTTCTCTAGAGAGATTGAATTTGAATACAAGTGGGATACTGCCTGCCCTCACTGCCTGCCCTCACTGAGGTTAAACTTCAGTAGGAGAGACAAACGCAAGACCAAAAAATGAATGATGCTAATGAGCAACAAACTGGGAGGTGAAGGGTATGGCAAGGGAGGTGGCTCTGGATCCAGAATGCCCGGGCTGTATTCCCAAGTTGCTTAAAGTATCTGGGCATCAGTTCCCCTTTGAATTGGTATAATAACATGCCAACCTCTAGGTCCTTACAAGAACTGAGTTACTATAAGTGAAATGTTCAGGTTAGTATCTAGTTCAAATATCTTAACATGTATTGGGAAGGAGATGGTCAAAAAGTCTTGCTGGAGTAGTATACATAAGGTAGGACATCAAGGATGGGTAAGATTTTGCAAGGCAAAGGCACGAGAGGATTAGTAGGGATAGCAGGGAGGGGAAGCATTCCAGGTGACAGAAGGACCTGGGCTGGCTGCATGACTTCCAGGAGGAAAGAAGCCTTTGGTGGCTATGGCATAGCTTAACAGGGAGAGGAGGTGTTGACACAGATACGTTATTGAGCAATGGAACAGAACGCAAAGCCCAAGACTAGACAAACTTCTATAGAAATTTTATCAATGACAGAGCAGGCATTGAAGATCATCTGAAGATTCTTCCCTGGGAAACCTGCATAGCTTAAGAGTCACACAAAACTGACATCTGGTGTTGCTTTTTTTGTTTTGAGATGGAAGCTCACTCTGTTGCCCAAGCTCAAGTGCAGTGGCCAAATCTTGGCTCACTGCAATCTCTGCCTCCTGGGTTCAAGTGATTCTCCTACCTCAGCTTCCCAAGTATCTGAGATTACAGGCACCCACCACCACGCCCTGCTAATTTTTTGTATTTTTAGTAGAAACAGAGTTTCACCATGTTGAACAGGCTGGTTTCAAACTCTTGACCTCAAGTGATCTGCGTGAGTGCTGCGATTACAGGCATGAGCCACTGTGCCTGGCCTGGTATTGCCCAATTTGATACCCCAAACATATCAATGCTGTGGAACCCAATCAAGTAGCCCTACCCATGGGTTTGGAGCTCTCATCAACTTCTTCCTGGGCCCCATTAAAAAAAATACATGCATATATATATATGCAGCAGTCAGATATCACTAAACATCAAAAAAAAAAAAAGGCTCTAACACTAGAGACAGACAATAACACAGGAAAAAAGAATTTTATCTATAAATCAATTAAAATTATGAGAAAGGAAACAAAAATCTCCATGGAAATTTTAAAGAATAAAGTTGAGAAGATATCCCAGAAAAGATAGCAAATATCTAAAATAATGGAAAGAAAGGAGGATAAAATATAAGAAAATTAGAGGCATATTGTCACTGAGACATATCACCACAAAATTTCAGAGTGCTGATGACAAAAAGAAGTTTCTAAAAGCTTACAGAGAAAGGGAGAAAGAGAAAGGGAGGAAAGGTTATATGGAAAGGGGTAAAATTCAGACATCTCAAAAGCAGCAATTAAATCTATTAGATAATAGAAAATGTCTTCAAAATTTCAAGGGAAATGGATTTCCCACCTAAAATTTGATATCCAACCAAAGTTTCACTTAGAAGTCAGGAAGGGTAGAATGAACATGTTTCAAACAAGCAAGATCTTGGTTTTTGTTTTTTTTTTTGAGATGGAGTCTCACTCTTTCACCTATGCTGGAGTGCAGTGGCCTTATCATGGCTCACTGTGACCTCTGTCACCTGGGTTCAAGCCATTCTCCTGCCTCAGCCTCCCAAGTAGCTGGGGTTACAGGCACCTGCCACTGTGCCCAGCTAATTTTTGTACTTTTAGTAGAAATGTAATTTCACCATCTCAAGCAGCCAGGCTGCTCTTGAGCTCCTGACCTCGTGATTCACATGCCTCAGCCTCCCAAAGTGTTGGGATTACAGGGGTGAGCCACAATGCCCTGGTCAGACAAGCAAGATCTTAAAAAATTTCCTTTCAATGCATGCTTTATTGTTAGGCATCTATCAAACTGGACAAAATTAAAAGATTTAGGACACTCAGTGTATGAAGGGAAATGTTTTGGAGAACAATGTGGCAATAGCCATAAAATTCCAATACCTCCAGAAAAGAACAGGGTGCAAGTACTGGTTTATCATAGATCAAGATGTAGTGTGAGGACTTGCTTCACTGTAGAGAAAAAGTAAAACAAAACTAAACAAAACAAAAAAGACACAAGATTTGGGAAATGGGATACAATTAAAAATAGGGAAAGGAGCTTCCCAGATGATGAGGGAGCTGGGAGCTGACTTAGAACAGCCAGTCCAGGTTGGAGCAGGCTGTGAGGTGAAACTGAGAACACTTGATTGAGTTTGAATTTAAACAATTGGGAAAGAATTGGCAAACTGACTAGTGATAAGTAACCACTTAATAATCCAAGGTAGGTATTAAGTCCTGGAAAATTCAAGTTATCCTCACTCTTTCACCTAAAAATGCAGGAGGGGAAAAGTAATTCTAATACTCTCTCCGCTCTTGGGCAATGGGGGATGGGCGGAGGGTGTGTGTCGGGGATGGGTGTGGCATGGCGCTTGAGTGATTGGTGGTGGTGGGAATGTGTAAACTACAGCTAAATATTCTTCTACTCTAGAGGGAAGACCATAAAGGAACTCTAAATAGAAAAATAAATAGTAGTGTTCGCATGTTACTTAAAGAATGAGAGGGAATGCTAAAAGAAATGGCTACATAGATGGAGGTGGTGTTCCCAAAGTTGTGGAAAATTAAGAAGGAGCAGAGTCTGCTGCTGCATTTCATAACACGCCACATTTGCGTCTCTAAGTTCTGTAAGTCAATAACAAAGTTAAAGTAAAAATCCAGAAAAAAATTAAAAAGAGAGTGGCAGGTGTTTGACATACCTTGATTAGAGTCCATGGAGCGAAGTCGCTTCGAACGCCTCGGTTCTTCCATAAGGAATCTGCAGGAGGGGGTGGAGAGAAAAACACATCAGTGGAGTTAAACCACAGCCTCATTTCCCAAGCCCCACGCAGCGATGCGGACCCCCACCAAACACCCTCCTCCAATGCCTCCGCTGTCCCCAGGCCTCAGAGCACTTAGCTGCCTGGGCACCGAACCCAAGAGGCCACTCAAGACGACAGTGTGAATGAAGGTGGGGGTTGGGACTGGGGCTATGGTTGTGGGAAACTTCCATACCATAAAGGGTTTCCAAGGGGAAGCTAGTAGCTAGCAGAGACTGGCCTAGAGGCAGTTTGTTTAATTTATCCCAGTTCCTACAAGCAAAGCTGGGAGAGGGTAGTCTAACTTAGGCCTCCTGGAGGAATGATCCCTCTTTAGGGGAAGAGGGAAGGAAGGTGGGGACAGACAATGGAGTTAGGAATACAGGAGAGACAAGGGAGGTGGCCGTGGCCCTTCTAGAGGAATGAGAATTCTGTCCCCATCCGCACCCATGCAAGCTCTACCCACGCCCCAGGGACACCCAGACACACACCTGATCTCCCTGAAGCTGGCTCTGGAGATCTGAAAATTAGGAGACCTTTCTACGAAGAAAAGCCGAGGAGCTGGACGTGTCCGCGGGTTCACAGCGGTAGCTCTGAGGTCGTCCTCCCACAACCAGGCAGCAGGAGGGAGCTTGCTGCAGGTCCTGGCTCGGAGCTCAGCAGAAAGCCGACTGATCGAGAGCCTGAGAGGACCGTCTTATAAGGCCCCAAGGTGATTACGTAAGGGGAGTGGTCATAGGGGCTGGCCTGAATGAGCTTGGAAGGCCATTGGGCCAGGCCTCCCCCCCCGCCCCCCCCCGCCACCCCGTCAAATGAGGCCCAGCCAAGGGGCCGCCATTCATAGATGTTAATGGTTGATTGATTAATCTAATCATTGAGGGAAAAAAAGCATAATTACATTTAAGTGCCAACAAAAGGGATGTGTGGTGGTGCCCTGAGAGTGGCTAATAGGAAGATTTGATTAGACTAGATCTGTGGTCGAGGAAAGCATCCAAAGGGGGATATTTGGGCTGAAATCTGGAATATAAAATTTGAAATTAGTCAATGTAAACTGGGTTGGTAGAGGCAGGGAGAGAGGCAAGGGACTGAAGAATGTGGGGTGAGGCCGGGACTGGGAGGGAGCCCACCCATTCCGGGAATGGAGGAGAGGCCAGGGCCAGGTCCAGAAGTGGTGCAAGGTGGGGCGGGGGGAGGCGCAGGAGCTCGTCTTGTTCCAAGGCAGCGGGAAACCATGGAACCGTGTCCTGCAGTGGGTTAACATTTCAAAAACCACTAGCCTGGCTGTGAAGGAGAGCAAACCCAGGGTTCTCAGATTAACTCAGAAAAGGGAAGAAGGCTATTGCAGCCCTAGTTGTTGGGTGCAGGGTCCTATTAGGCTAGGACTGTGGGCTGCAGAGGAGGAGAAAGTTCCCTGGTGGGAGAGAAATTTACAAAAGAAAGAGCCCCAGTGTGGACAGCCCTTGGAGGGAAGGAGACTGCACCCTTGGCAGCCAGTTCATTCAGACAGAGGAGGATCGGGAACCTGCTCTGAATGGGAAGATGTGGAGCTTGGCTTGCGTACATTGGGTTGAAGAAGGTTTTGAGCTGCCAAGTGAGGATGTCAGGTGGCCTTTTGTAAAAAGAGACGAGCTTAGAGAGATGGCGATGGGGCTGGAGACGCGTGTGAGACACACACCACTAGATTTTATTGCTGTGGGTGCACACATAGGCCGAGGAAGAGAGCAGGAAACACACCAGGACACTGGAGGGGAACCCACAGTGGGTTGGTTGGCTTGCTTGCTTATTTTTTAGAGAGACGGGTTCTCACTCTGTACTGTGGTGCAATCTTGGATCACTGCAGCCTCGACCTACTGGGATCAAGCGATTCTCCTGTCTCAGTCTCCCGAGTAGCTGGACTACAGACACACGCTACCACACTAGGCTAATTTTTGTATTTTTTTTTTTAGAGATGCGGTTTCGCTATGTGCCCAGGCTTGTTTGTAACTCCTGAGCTCAGATGATTCTTTCTCCTCAACCTCCCGAGTAGCTGGGACCACAGGCGCAAGCCACCATGCCCAGATAATTATTATTATTATTATTATTTTTTTTTTTTTTTAATTATTTGTCGAGATTAGGTTTTGCTATGCCTGGGCTAATCTCAAACTCCTGGCCTCAAGCAGTCCTCCCACCTTGGCCCAAATCACTGGGACTACAAGCATAAGCCACCACACCCTACTCTCATAGTGCTGTTTAAAAAATTCTAGCCAACCACCGTGGCTCATGCCTATAATCCCAGAACTTTGGGAGATGAAGGTGAGAGAAATACTCGAGCACAGGAGTTTGAGAACAGCCTGGGGTTACAGGGCAAGACCCCATCTCTATAGAAAAAATTACCCATGTGTGGTGGTGCCTGCCTGCAGTCCCATCGGCTAGGAAACCTGAGCAGGGAGGATTGTTTGAGCCTGGGAGATCAAGACTGCAGTGAACCAAGAATGCACCACTGCATTCCAGTCTGGGACACAGAGTGAAACCTTGTCTCAAAAAAAAAAAAAAAAAAAATCTAAAAATGGTGTACAAATGATGCAATTGCAGTTAGATTGTCAGTATTTTTGTTGTTGTTGTTTTGTTTTTTTAAAAAGTCAACTTTATTAAGGTACAATTTACACACAGTAAAATGCTTTCATTTGAAGTACACAATTTGGTGAGTTTTGATAAACATGTAGGCTTGGGTAACCACCTCCACAGTTAAAATAAGAATAATTTCGGGCCGGGCGCGGTAACCCAAGATTGTAATCCCAGCATTTTGGGAGGCCGAGGCGGGTGGATCACGAGGTCAAGAGATGGAGACCAACCTGGTCAACATGGTGAAACCCTGTCTCTACTAAAAATACAAAAAAATTAGCTGGGCATGGTGGCGTGTGCCTGCAATCCCAGTTACTCCGGAGGCTGAGGCAGGAGACTTGCCTGAACCCAGGAGGTGGAGGTTGCGGTGAGCCAAGATCGCGCCATTGCACTCCAGCCTGGGTAACAAGAGCGAAACTCCGTCTCAAAAAAAAAAAAAAAAAAAAAAAAAGGATAATTTCATCACTGGGACAGTTCCCTTGTGTCCCTTTACAGTCAGCCCCCTCCCCACATCCTCTGCCCTAGGCAACCACTAATCCACTTCTTACCTCTACAGATTATTTTTTCCGGTTTTAGAATTTCACATAAAGGAAAGCATACTGTTATGTACTTTTTTCTGACACATTTCTCTTGCTTGACTTAATTTTGCTAAGGTCCATCTATGTTATAGAATGCATGAACCATTCATTCATTTTCATTCCTGGATGGTGTCCCATTCCACAAATAGACCTGGGTTTATTTATCCAGTCACTCGCTGACAGACACTGATTAGGTTGTTTACAGTTTGGGGGTATTATGAATAAAACTGTTAAGAACACTCATATACAAGACTTTGGATACACATATGCTTTCATTTTACTTGGGTAAATATCTACATGTGAAAAATCTGGGTCAAATGTCAAGAGTTATTTTTAGATTTATAAAAAAAAAATCAATTTGCTTTCCAAATTGATTCCACAATCAATTTTACATTCCTTCCCAAAGTGTATGAGGGTTTTAGGTGCTCCACTTTCCCTGCCAATGCTTGGTGTTATTGATCCTCATTATCTAAGCCACTCTGGCGTCCATTGGAGTGGTGTCTCATTGTGGTTCTAACCTGCCTTCCCTTGCTGACTAATGATGTGCTTACTAGAGTTTTAAAAATAAGTGTTTTTATTTTAGAATAGTTTTACACTCACTGAAAAGTTGGAAAAAATACGGAGTTCTCATATGTCCCACACCAAATTTACCCTGTTTCTAGCATCTTGCAGTGTAGTACATTTGTTACCATTATTATGGCAATAACAATTATTGGTACATTAATAAAATACATCATTATTAACTAAAGTTTATGTTTTGTTCTGATTTCCTTGGTTTTGACCTAACATACCTTTCTGTCCCAAGACCCCATCCAGTGTACCACATTACAGTTAGTCATGGCTTCTCTTGGATGAGACAGTTTCTCAGGCTTGCCTTGTTTTTGATGACTTTTGACACATTGCCATCCCATCCTGTCTACAGTCTAACACCATGGCTTATCACTGCTGGTATTATCCTGGTCACCTAACCCGGGCAGTGTTGGTTAGATTTCTCAACGATAAAGTGATTTTTCCCCCCGTCTTTCTCTACTGTACTTTTTGGAGGTCACTATCTATAGCCTACACTTTTAAAAAAGGAAGTTAGGCTTTATCTCCTTGCAGGGGAATAGCTACTTAAATTATCTGGAGTTCCCCTGTGTGGAGGATTTGCCTATTCTTCCCCATGTGCTTATTTATTTATTTATTTATTTATATCGGCATGGACTCATTGATATCTATAGTATACTTTAGAATATAATCCAATACTTCCTGGAATTAGTTATTTAATAATTTAGCTAATTATTTTGTTAAATATTTTACTTAAATATTTAATTATTAATTAGTGAATTATTTGTTACTCAAACACTTCTAGCTTTGGCCATTGGGAGCTCCTTTAGTTAGCTTCTGGGTCTTTTTGTCACCCTCCATCACTGTGGCTTTTGGTTTGGTTTGGTTTGGGGCCCCTTCTTGTTCCCTGGCACAACTGGGTGTTCCATGCTTATTTGCATAATTCCATTCTTATTGGGGTTTCATGTGCTCAGGGACCACACCCGTAATATTTTGTGACATTTCTGTTCAAAACCTTTATCATTATTATTATTTTTACTGGGTTGATTTTTTCTTTTTCTTTCTTTCCTTTTTTTTTTTTTTTTTTTTTTTGAGATGAAGTTTTGCTCTTCTCACCCAGGCTGGAGTGCAATAGTGCAATCTCCAGTCACTGCAACCTCTGCCTCCTGAGTTCAAGCAATTCTCCTGCCTCAGCCTCCTGAGGAGCTGGGACTACAAAGCGCCCACCACCATGCTGGGCTAATTTTTGTATTTTTATTAGAGACAGGGTTTTGTCATATTGGCCAGGGTGGTCTCCAACTCCTGAACTCAGGTGACCTGCCTGCCTGGGTCTTCCAAAGTGCTGAGATTACAGGCATGAGCCACTGTGTCCACCCTTATTCGGTTGACCTTCTATTCTTGAGTTTTAAGAGCTCTTTGTATTATAGATACAGGTCTTTTATAAATATATGTGTTGTGAATATATTTTACCAGTCCATTGCTTGCCTTTTCATTTTCTTAACAGCGTCTTTCAAAGAACGGATTTTAATTTTAATAAAGCCCAGCATCTCAGCTGGGATTTCCAGGAAGCCAACACAGAGATGGAAATTAGAGTACAGAAGGTATATGAGGTATGCCTTTTAGGGATGTGGGAGGGAAAGAAACAGGACCGCACAGTCTCAATGTTGTGCCTCAGCGGCCCCCATTGGATGTTCTAAAGTGAACCTACTAGAGCTATTCTGAATGGGGCAACAGGGCCTGGTTTTAATGTTCCCAATGAACATCACTAGATGCAGTCTGCCCAGTGGAGGGTGCCCCTGTGGGTAAGAGCAGGTGAGCCTCTTCAGCCAAGGCAGTCAGTCCCTTAGGGTCCATCTGCAAGGGCTGAGGGCAGTCTGCTCGAGGCAATTCTCAC